TCGATATAACATTAAGTCCCGCTAAAATTGACTTCATAGATCTGTATAATATAGTTTGAACAGCTGTTGAAAGTTGGAGTTTTATTGCGATGACCTATGCTTTGATGAGAGCGCCCAGCTAGACTAATTCACATTGATGACTTAACGGCAAGCGTTTCAATACTGCGGCTATAGCTGTATGGTTGCAATCACTCAAGAACTACCTTAAATAAACTTACCAGATGACGTAGTTGAGTACTTTGTCAACACCAACAGAACCACAATCGTTGACTTAAAAAACATTTCGTGAACGTTTCTTGTCAAGGTTTCTTTGGCTATGTTGTAAAAGAGAGAGCATATCTCTGGATGCGCTTGGCTGTCTGAAAACAAGGGGCCATTTCATTGCGCATGCACGATACGCTTGAGCTACCTTGGTCACAGCACTGTTTCGCAGCTCGTTCTCGGTCGAGATGTTTACGAGCGTATGTCTGTTACCATCGAGAATCTCAAATCAGTTTCAAAAAATATTTGAATTTTTGGTTTTTTTATTTTTGGTCTTTAGTATATGACAATTTGTTTCATAGTTTTATGAAAAGCACTTTGTGTGGGGGTCAACTATCACTGGTGACTTTAAAAAATAATAACAAAGGAAAATATATATTAGACTAGCTATATAAAGTGTAGTACAAGTCTACTGTGAAAAAAAAGAAAAAGCTTCAGTATTTTGTTTTAGCAACTTTCTTTAAAACTGGAAAGAGAGATATTCAAGATGATGAACTTCACAGTATTGCAATGGTTCTTTGTAATTTGAACTCTGAAACAATAAAATAATAATAATTTTAAATAATTGAGTAAATACATTGTATTTTTAATTTGGTGATTTACTGCAATGTCTTAATTTATTATTGTCCCAAGACATTTGATTATGTATATAAGACTTATCATGTTTTTAATTAAAGATAAAAAACCCTAAATTTTTAGTGTGCCGCGGAGCACATTTGAGTTCCACTGCTCTGATGTTTGGTCTGCCGAAGGAGTTCTAGTTATTACCTGCGGTCAGGTCTGATGTTGTGTAATAAGCGAAGCGATGCAATCGAGCTTTGGTTGGCAAGCAAACCACATAAAGTGCCCACAAATCGACCCAAAATATGAGCAATTCTTTAGAAATACCAAATTTACAAATGCATAGAAAGTAGTCTACTTGTAGACACAAAGCAGTTTGAAAACATTGTATAAAACTCACCTTCGAAGCAACACACGAGCGTGCGAATCCACGTGAACAACAGCAATCGCTTTTTCCATCAAAATCACTCCGATAAATCTCCGATACAACGAGAAGAGATCTCCTTTAATACGTGTTTCTTTCACATGAAGAACAGCAATCACTTTTTCTCTCGAAATCACTCTGATAAATCTCCGATACACCGAGAAGATCTCCTTGTATTGTAAGTGTTTTAAGTTACCGATATAAACGCGTGGGGGAGCTGGATAGGGCTTTTGAATACAAACATGTCGAGGGGTGGGTAGGGCTGTTAAAGTGGTTACACTCTTATTTACCTGCACGATGACATAGTGACGAAGCCTTCTTGTCACGAAGCCTTCCCAGAAGGCCTTCGTCACAAAAATCGAATTCAATTTTATTTCACGCAAAGGACACCTCAGGTGAGTGATTTCAGGAAATCCTACTAAGAGTCCAAATCTCGCTATATTTTTTGCAAAAATTGAGAAAGTTCTAAAATCGATTAAATTTCATTATTTTTCCTAATAGATGAGGTGACGGTTTTGTCCGCCATTTTGGACCGGTAGGCATAGTGTCGCAAAATAACAAGGAATGACCGGGAAATCAATGTCAAATAATTCTCGCTGAATTCAAATTCAGAAAGAATTATCAATTGCAAACGTTAGATACTTCAAAAAAGAGCTGACTGGCCAAATTTGAAGGATGTGCTTCGTCTAGGGAGCGAGAAAATTTATTTTTAGTTCTCAATACATTTCTTTGTATTTTTCACGCGCGTCACGCACTGATGACCCCGGAAATTATAACGAAATGTATTGAAATTACAAAGAAATGTATGGAGAACTAAAAATGAGTTTACTCGCTCTCTAGATCAAGTACGCCAAATTTGGCCAGTTAACTCCTTTTTGCAGTATCTAACGTTTGCAAATGATAATTCTTTCTGAATTTGAATTCAGCGAGAATTATTTGACATTGATTTCCCGGTCATTCTTTGTTATTTTGCGACACTATGCCTACCGGTCCAAAATGGCGGACAAAACCGTCACCTCATCTATTAATATGCGTGATGGAAGGCAAACTTCAAGCAGCTATAAATTAAAGAATTTTACTCGAAATAAAATCCTGAAAGAATTTTTGAAATAAATAATTTTAAACGTCAAATATTCGGTAATTAGTCAACGTTCTTTTAATGTGTAAAATAACATGCAAATTTTAGGTAAMGTTTAGCCTGCGATATCACTGCTGGTACCTAAGCAAATGTAAAACAATTTCATGTAAGCAAAGGCCAAACATTCAAGAATATTTGTGCAAAGTTTGAGCTCTGACTATTCAAAYGTCTACGAGTTAGCGAATTTTAAAGATAGCGTCAAAACACGCAAAAAGCCGAACATTGTTCCATTGAAATCTGCAACACTGAAATAAATAACGATTCAAAACTATTTAAATATTTGGGATTCTTTCTTTTCAGTGTGCTTGACGCGTTATAGGCAACATTCGAAGGGTAAAAAGATTATTCTCAAGTGTTATTCGCGTGGTGACGGCTTAATTTTGCCAGGAAGCGATGCAAACTTAGGTCACGCAATCTATTGTTGGATGTCTGGGCCGCGTAACAAGTCAGAACATAATATGAAAATGTGAAAAATAATGTGAAAATAATGTGAAAAATTGATATAGATAGCTTGTTTTGTTTTAGCTGAAAGCAGAAATACTTCAAATGCTGAATTAAAAATCAGGCGATTTTTGTTTCCTATCTTGAAACACTATTAATTCAGTTGATTTAGAATATAATTTTCTATCATTCGAGCTAGTATTTGACTGTATCCATCTTAAAACTTGTATGAAAAATTATCAAGATCAATGGTGCTAATATTTATATATTTAAATCAAAAGGGTTAAAACCGCCGACCGGTTAGCTCAGTAGGTAGAGCATCGGACTTTAGTGCGGTAGGTCGCAGGTTCAAACCCCGGCCGGACCAACACTCAGGGTCTTAAAACAATTGAGGAGAAGTTGTTGGTATGATTCAGCTCATAATTATGATGACTTGCTAACTCGTACCTCTAAGAACTCTAAAACATCTGTTAACTCGTACTATCGATAACTCGAAGACGAGTTATTGATTCATGTATTGATTAGAATCTATTTATCAGTATCTTTTGTTTTAATTTATTTTTTGCGCTTTTGCGCAAATTGGGGACGTGTTCTTTTAAGTCATTTTGTTGAAATTAAGTTTCCTAATTTCTAAACAATGAGATATATTGAATCGGTTTTCTCTTTATTAAAGGTTGATGTTTATTGTTATGTCTGCCATGGCTCAGCTGCTACTTGGATGGGCGGGCAGTTGTCACTCAGTACCCGCGAACAGCTGTGCGACTAGACGGTAAGTTGTCCAGAACTATCATAGCTCAACTCA